CAATTCGAGAAGCATGAATGCGAGTCGAGTCCAGGAGCCTCTACCACGTTAAATTAGGTATGTTTTTATACAAATTCAAGGCATTGGATGAAAGATTGGATATCTGTAAAGCTTCAAACAAAAGGGTCGAAGTTGCTACGAAGGCTGTTTTTCTGGCAGACTTCGAGCACACGCAAGCGGCCAGAAAAACAGCCTTCATGGCAACTTCGAGACTTTTGTTTGAAGCCTTAAGATATTCAATATTTCATCCAATGCCTTGCCTTTGCATAAAAAAAATACGTAATTTAACGTGGTGGAGGCTCCTAGAGTTGACTCGCATCCATGATTCTCAAATTGAGCTCCAAAGTAGGCTTGACAAACACGTTGCCAGACTTAGTCATTTTCAGACAGTTTCCCAGTTTTGGCATAGCCTTTTGGTCAGGTTCAAAAATGGTCTTCTGGACTTTCCATTGAGCTCCCAAGTACTTTAATGTGTAGAGGGACACTCAGCTTCAAAACAAGCCTTTAATCTCCAATTTCCATCTAGCCCATTGTAAGATATGAATCTCCAAAGTAGGCACCATGAAACTGTTTTTACACTGAAACAACAAATTAGGTCGACCTGATCCTATATGAGGTCGACCGAAAAGTGCATGTCACCGTGACATGCATGTCACCGTAGCAAAGTCCAAAGAGATAATACCATCATCTATAATCTTATAAACTTGGGGGAGATGAGCGAGCTTGAAGATGAGAGTCAAAGACATTGTCAAAAAGAGGTTCATTGTGAGAAATTCAATATTAAGAAATTCACTAAGAGTTGTACATGAAAAAAGTCTTGTGTTTCCTAGTCAATTAGATAGCCAAAATCAAGAGAAATAGGCCAAAAAAAATTTATAACCTGCGGATTTGAAGGTTTGATACATGAAACAAAAAACCATTAATTTATAGTCTATGTTCATCGCCATGAATTAATCCTTATCCCCATCCACATAACAATATCAACACAATTCTATCTATGACCATTTAACCAATAGGTTACATATTACAAAACAAATAACAAAACTATAGCATGTAGATAAAGATATTCGCAACCACCAAACAATATAGCCATCATTCATTAATCGTCAAGCTGTCAAGCATACAATTAGATGGACTTTATCTCCACCAAAACATAAACATATAGCATCCGGCCTAGATTCAATCATTAAACTAATTATTTATCAAGTTTCTTAACTTAATAGGAATCATTAGATTAATCAAGAAGAAAAAATATAAAAGAGAAATGTCGATATTCTAAATTAATAATTAGTTTAATAAGTATTTATAAAATAAAAAACTAAAACTTCAATCTCTCACTCTTTGTCTACCACATTCAAACCGTGTCGGAACCTCCCCTTTTGTAGCTTTCAATTTTCTCACGCCGCCCGACACATTGGCTTCTTCCAAAATAAATTTTTGGTTCATATATCATTTTCAGACAGGACGGATTTATACTAGACGAAACTGATATTGTTAATAATGGGAAATATATTCGATAACCGCCATCGTTCTTCATATATGTCTAGCATCTTATTCTTCCGCTACAGTCAAAGTTTGGAAGCTTCATTTATTAACTATTGATATTCAGACTTTAGTTTAATTGCTTCAGTAACAGTTCATTCACTGGCTGCTTCCCGTTCATATGAGATATATATGGTTAACGATTTTGCTTATGTTGGCAATGTTTCAATTTGTAGATTATTCACAATACATCATTTCATTGTTAACAGTATGATCCAATATCACAGTTGTCTATTAATATTGTTTGTTCATATTATTGATGTTCATGATATCATTAATAAATTATTTTATAAATGAACATTTATGTTGATTATGATAATTGTTAACATCACACAAAATTAATATCATAATTGTTAAAAATAACTCTATTGTTATTAAAAATACATGTTCGTTCGATAAATAGTTTTATGATTGGGATTTTGTAGAGTTTTTTTATGTTTGGGTTTTGTATCATAATTCAAATCATATTAAATTGTTATTTTAATATGGTCTAATAAAACCGTTAGATTAATCTAAAGGCCAAATTTAGTTTGAAGTAAATTGTAACCAACGATTAGTACCATATATATTATGGAAGCGAAAATGATATTGGAATAGTCAAAATTGGTGATTTTATTAGAATGATGATAACTTACTTTTTCATTATGTGTATCTTGGTTTGATAATTGGATTTATGAAAAACACACCATATTTTTGTTGTTTGGCAGATGCAAATAGAGAAAATTGAGCGTGGAGACGAATTCTGAAACTTCGGCCAACTGTGCAGCTGTTTATAAGGAAGCAGGGTGATGAAGGCTTTTGGAATGAGAAATTGATGCTCAGCTACTCAGTGAGCCCATTCTGGGATACGATACGTTCTGTGAAGAGCAAACAACACTGGTCTGCTCTTCTCTAGAGTAAATTCTATGTGCCGCATTGGAGTATCATAGCATGGATTGTGGCCATAGATGCGATAGTAACCAAGGTAAAGTTGATGCGGTGGGATAAATTAAAGGAAGATAGATGCATTTTATGTCATGCCAATAGTGAGACCTGGGATCATTTGTTTTTGGAATGTTGTTTCTCGAGGAGTATTGTTAGAAGAGTTGGTAATTTTTTTCGTAGCAGGTCTTGGGATCTCTGCCTCTCATATGTAGGTGTGGTTTTAAAGCAAAACACGACTCTAGGGAGACTTATTGGACCTCTATGGTGCTCCTTGATTAGTTTTTTCTGGCAGGAAATGTGTCGAAGGCTCTATGGAGACGTCCTAAGAACGCCCAAGTTGGTGACAGAGTTATGGTTTCGAGATTTCCGCTTCTTTGTTTCCTCTTATCCAGGTTTAGAGGCTGGGAGAGTTTGCGCCCCTCCCTCAGAATAAAAATAAAATAAAAAAATAAATTAGAAAGTGAAATAGAACCTAACGAATTTAAAAGTCTAGCGGAAACGTTAAAATCAGTGTGACGGATTTACAGCCCAACAAAAATGTTTAAATGAATCATTCCAATTAAAGTGTGGTAAATGATATTTTTTCCTTTCAAAAATTACTCTGGTTGCTGGATATTTGAAATTGAGAAAATTTAACCCATGAATCTCCTTCATATATTTTATAGATTGGAGGATAGTCTAGAACTAAAATAATCATATATGAAAATTGAAATATCAAGCACCATAAAGATACTTACAGGAGACTTAGTGAGCTATCTTATCGTTATGCAAAAGTCATATGTTTTCAGATTTTAACTTTGTTTATGTTTTGTAATAAAAAGTATACAATGTATTTGTTTAGTGTAATTGGTTATGTTTCTTGTCTTTGTTTAAAGAGAGCATGGTTCAAATCTTGGTGCTTATATATTTTTATACAAAATAAATAACTAATTGTGAAGACAAAAATACCCTTCCTACTTTCACTATGGTTGCTCGAAATTTGAAATAGAGAAAATTCAGTCCATGAATCTCCTTAGTATATATTGACAACGTTACTAAAAATAACATTTTGTTTTGAGTTGAAATTAAAATAAAATACATAAAAAAATCAGATTAATTGTACTTTTTAAAATGAGTGATAGATTTTGGAGAAAAAATATATTTTTATTACCAGTCCATATCATGTGATACTACTTGGTATTATACATAAGATTATACCACTTGGTATGGAAGTGTATCGTGATGGTATGAATACACTAGAGTTTAGAATGATTGCATATATGATAGTAAAAGTATATTAATTGTCATTTACTACATTTCATCAACGTAAACCACCAATTACCACTTATTAGGATGGTATCGGGTGTTACTTTTTGTCCTGGAAATATTTTCCCATAAAATTTTAGATCTAATAGATCATGTTGAATTTGTCGCTTCTGGCCAAAAAAATTCAAAATTCAAGTTAAAAACGAAGATGGTATCAAGGTGGTGATTGGTATGAAAAAATTGCTTGAAAATATATTGAAAATGGATATCATTTTGTATATCACATCAAACTCATATATATGTGTAAAAAATTTGAAATCCAAGTTAGAACGAAGAAGATTAAAGCGGATTAAAAAATAGGAGAAAATTAAAAAAAATCATTAATTCTTACCTCTTAGATATCACTTCACTTAAACTATGTTGGTGTGCATAACTAGACCATCTTTAGTGTCAAGTTTCATAAGTTCAAATTTTGGGTTAGAATTCAAATTTTAGCCCTCCAAAAGTGTTTTGGCATAATGGCATTAGTGGTGAGTTCTAAAGGCTAAAGTTCCAAATTTTCACTTAACTCATAACCAAGTTTAGTGTACATTTCATCATTTTAGTTGGATAATATGTTCATTATTTATATATCTATGTGTGCTATTAATTAATTAAGACAATCATTTCAATACAATTTTCTTAATTTAGTCAAAAAAAATTATTATATTAAATATGACGTCATCAATAAAAAAAACACAATGACTAATTCCATCAATCCTAAAACAACCATATACAAATGTTTGACTTTTAAGTTAAATTCTTAAATGCACAATTAATAAAGTCGCTTCTTAATTCTTAAATGACTTCTTAATCCTTATTAAAGATGAGTTGGTTTCATTAATAGAGGTCTCATTGTACAAAAAACAAAACAAGAACAACTGCATATAATGGGGATTACAACGCATGAGAAAAATAGAGGGACGAGATACAATAACAACACACTTAGTGTTGTTATAATAACAACAGGGTAAAAGGGTCCATCAACACAATTTATAACAAAATAAAATTCAATTAATATATATTTGCTGGTCGCTTCCCCTTCTCCGCTTTCCCTATCCTTCAACTCCGACCTAAATTCCGCCTCCCCTGTCCCGTCGCTGGGCGGTTCTGCTCTCCCCCATTTAAAAACAAAAAAACAAAATGAGCAGTGAAATAATGAACCGACGGTGTGGTAATTACTCCAAGCTCGATAAGGAAGACCCAGAAGAAGTATTCCACCGGCGGGCTCAGTCCCGATCTACAAGGTGATGCAACGCGCCGACGATTCGCGGCGGAGCGCGTCGTTTTGCCAGATCAAGCTCTGCAAGTTGAAGGTGAGGATCGGGAAGAGGCTGAAGAAGCTGAGGAAGGGCGTGGTTTTGAGCATGTCGGCGGCGAGGTTGAGGATTTACCGGATGATTACGATTCAGTGGAAGCGGTTGTTCGGCGGGCGCTCAATCGTCGGCGGCGGCGGTGGTGTTCTTCCTGCTGCTGCGGCGGTAGTTTCCATCTTCCCAAAACCCTGCTCCCGAGCACCTCCCACACCCAATCCAATTAGGCCACTCGAAGTCGTCGATGGAGAAACTTTGGGTTGGATTACGTTGCTTGCTAATTTTATTTTTTTTAGGAAAACGTTGCTTGCTAATTGCTAACCCACCAATAACGAAGTTTCCATTGTATAGCACGAAGTTTCCATTGAATAGCACATTAATTAGTTTGCTATGTTTTGGCTAATTGTTGGTCACTGTTTCTGCCTTCTCAGATTTCGGGTTTTAGTGTTGGTGTAAATGTATCACCATTTCATAATGGCAGAGTGGCAGTGATTGAGTTGATGATGTTGATGAAGGAGATGGAAAAATATGTGTTATGTTTCACTAATTTGTGGGGAAATAAAATTAACTCAATGAGACTGCTTCTGTATCACTGAAAGAGAGACCTAGGCATTTTGATAAATTCAATAAAACATATTATAAAACACACCAAAAACCTTGTAATGTAAATCATAAATCTCCTGAAACATACCAGAAACACCATAAAGCACACCACAAATGTTTCTAAAGCACACCAGAAACCTCATAATGCAGACTACAAATCGCCTAAAACATACCAGAAACCTCACAAAGCAAACCACAGAATTTTCAAAAACACACCAGAAACCTCATAATGCAAACCACAAACACGATAAAGCAAACCACAAAACAAACCAGAAACGTCCTAATGCATACCAAAAATCTATTAAAACAAACCAGATACCTCACAAAGCAAACCACAGAATTTTCAAAAACATATCAGAAACCTGATAACGCAAACCACAAACACATTAAAGCAAACCAAAAAAACAAACCAGAAACGTCCTAATGCAGACCAAAAATCTACTAAAACAAACCAGAAATCCCGCAAAGCAAACCACAGAATTTTAAAAAACACACCAGAAACCTCATAATGCAAACCACAAACACGATAAAGCAAACCACAAAAACAAACCAGAAACGTTCTAATGCAGACCAAAAATCTATTAAAACAAACCAGAAACCACACAAAGCAAACCACAAATTTTTTGAAAGCAAACCAGAAACTTCTCAATGCAAACCACAAACACGATAAAGCAAACCATAAACTTCTTAATGCAAACCACAAACACGATAAAGCAAACCACAAAAGGCATACAAAAATATGAGAAACCAAACCATAAATCTCACAATGCAGACCATAACATCCGGTGGTTGTTGACCGGTCAACGAAGTTTGTTGACCGAACTCCGATGACCGTCAGTGAGCAGATTCCGACGCCGATAGACATATTCCGGCCCCGATGACTAAATTCCGACGCCGGTAAGCATATTCCGGCGACAAATAGCATTTTCCGGTGACAAAAAGCATATTCCGGTGATCGGTGGCCAAATTCCGGCGACCAAAATTTTGGGCCGAAAATAAAAAATAATTTTTTATTATTTAAAAAGATTTTTCATAATGACAATTATACCCCTGCTTTGATTTTACACTAGGTCAACTCATCTAATAAAAAGTCATCACAACCCTAGCTTCCTATTGGTTGGAGACTAGTGTTGTTACAATAACAACAAATATGATGTTGTCATAGTATCTAGTCCCAAAAATAGAGAAGCAAGGGCGCGTGTGGCGCATTCATCAATTTGGCGCGTTGCTCGTCCAGCTGGTGGTGGTTTCGTTTAATTTATACTTTCTTCCCCACTTGTGATCCAATTTTGGACCCATATCTGACTCAATTCAATTTTCTGGTCTTTTGGAACCCCACTAAAGTGAGTTGGGTACAAATTTTTGGAATTTTGGCCTAGCACTTAAGATGGTCTAAGGGTTATACTTCCTATTATCGATTGAGATATAGAGAAAGAATGGATTCTACATAATAAAGGTTGAGGGATGACAATAGGAATGACAATCGATTCAGGCCTAATTGCACATGTTTTGTCCCCGTTTTATTTAGGTGTTTGTGCCAAATTCGCTCCTTAAAGGTTGGTTTTACGCTAGGTTATTCGTGTTTGAGTGTGTTTCAGGAATCAACAGGTGAAACCAGCCTTGGCGTCGAAAGATTGGCGAAAAGGATCGAAAACCGGGAGATGAGGTGAAAAAGAGCCAGTTCACGGCTAACTGAAGGAGTTCACGGCCGTGAAAGACCGTGAAGAAGGGGAGTTGACCGTGAATCGCGAGGCGTCCAGAGCCAATGTGAAGGTTACTGATGCTAGGTGAGTTCACGGTCACTACGACCGTGAACACAAGCAGTTGACCGTGAACAGACGTGAGCGATGCAGAGGGTTTTGGCGCACACCTTGAGTTCACGGACGCGTTTGATGGTTCACGGCCGTGAACTCAGCTCTTCTTGGGTTTAAAAGATGAGCTGAAATGAGGAGAGAGGGAGAGCCCACTTTTGTGTGAAACACCTTTTTCAGCATTCTAGTGAGAGAAACAGAACCAAAGGGAAGAAGAAGGTTAGGGTTTGGCTTCAAGGCAGATTTTGGGAAGATTTCCCCCAAGGAAAGCTCAACTCAAGGGTCAAGAAGAGAGGGAGCCTCCTCAAAGATGGTTTCCACCTTTTTCCCTTTTGTTCTTCCCACTTCTAGCATGGAGTAGACCTCCTTTCACTTGGGTGTAGTGAAACCCTAACTCTACCATGTAGTTTTCTTGTATGTGTTTTGGATGATTGTCATTGGGTATTGTTCAATTCAATGATTGAGGCATTATTCACCATGATTGTGCATGCTTATGCTTAGCAACATAGGGGTTGTGCATGTTTTGTGCTTAGCATCCTTAGGTTTGTGCATTTAGGTGCTTAGCAACCTAGGGATTGTGCATAATTGTGCTTAGCACCCCTAAGTTTGTGCATTTAGGTGCTAGTAATCTAATTTGCCAACTTAGCCTAGTTTAGAGAGGAAAATCCCCCTTTTAAGGGAGACTCAATCAAGTTGGTTTTCCTTCCGCTTTCTAAGCCAACTAAACTAGGTTAAGTTAGGGAAACCCTCAATATTGAGTTAAGCAAGTCGATTAATCGTGATTAAACCGTCTGACTTAGATTTGAGTGAGGGATTAAGTCAATTATCGATTGTCCAAACCGAGAGGGTCGAGTGAAACGGCCTTTCACCCTCAACTCGGTTTGGCAATTAAGACTGTGGTCTCCGACCACATATGCATTCCTCTGCGGTTCACGATTAACGTGCCCAAGGCAATCGTTCCAATCCACATAGCATGGTAGCGGTTAGGGGGAAGCAACACCCGAGTGACTTACCCGCAAAAGAGTTTTCAAACCCAATCACCTTTGCTTTCTTTTATTTCAATTAGCAAACCTTTTAAACCAAAGTTTAGTTGCTATATAATGATTTCAACAACGGAAGTAGGGATAGACGGACTGGCCTGGGTTGATATCTAAATACTTTTCCTATACTGCACCCGATTAGAGTTTAAAAACTTGGACTCTAATTGGGGTTTTATTGTGGTGTAGTTTCGTGCTGGTCAAGTTTTTGGCGCCGTTGTCGAGGACTTATGGTCCTTTATTCTGAAAAAGTTGTTGGTTGTTAATCTAGATTTAAATTTCCAGTTTTGCAAGTGTGTGTTCTTTGCTTGTGCTAGACTTGGTGTTTTCCGATTGTGTGTACGTGGTGCATGACCCGGAGTAACCCGACACCCTTGCTACCACTTGACGATGACATAAACCGAACCCTCCGAATCCTAGCAAGGGAGAGAGAGCTAGCCGAGGCAAGGAGAAGGAGTAAAAGAGGGGGACAACAATTAAGTCCCGGTGTTAGTAGAGAAGGAGTTGAAGAAGTCGAAGTTGAACCCGTCGTTGAAGAGGAAATGGCGGGGAACCAAAGACAAGATGGAGGAGCTCAATCCTGCCATATGAATGAGGCGGTGGGAGAAGAAGGAGCCCCGAGGACGATGGGGTACTATATGGTCCCAAGGGGGGCAGACATTCAATCGCCAATCTTACATCCTCCGGTGGTGGCAAACAATTTCGAGATCAAGCCGGCTCTAGTGACCATGATACAAAGTAATGCTCTATTCCACGACCATGAAAGTGAGTCACTAAGAGAGCACGTGCAGAGATTCTTTGAGCTCGCGGGGAGCTTGAAAATTAATGGTGTGTCGGCCGAAGCTTTGCAACTAAGGCTTTTCCCATACTCACTCTCGGGGAAGGCACTTAGGTGGCTAAACAACCGCCCACCTCGGTCTATCACCTCATGGGACGAACTCCTCAACAAGTTTATGGCTCGTTATTGCCCGCCTTCGAAGACAGCAGAGTGGAGAAAGATGATTACACATTTCGAGCAAGAAGAGGACGAGACCTTGAGGGATTCTTGGGAGAGGTACTCCGATTATTTTCTTCAGTGCCCTCACCACGGGTTTGAAGAATAGTTTCAGATTGAAATCTTCTACGGAGGCCTAATGCAAGAAGATAAGATCCTCATTGACCCTTGTGTCAGGGGAAGTTGATGAATATGGCTCCGCCCCAAATAACCGAGATCCTAGAAGATATGACCTTAGGGGGTATGATTGGGGGTTGACTAGAAGTGGAAGAAGAAGCAATGATATGGGAGTGAGAAGCGTGGGAGCGAATGCTCCGCTTGAGGCAAAGTTGGATTGTTTGAGGTTAATCTTAAAGATAAAAGGCAAGGAAAATGGGTTGGAATATCGTGCGACTGATGCTCGAGTACTAGCCATGAGATGGCGGAGTGCCAAGCAATGAAGGAGGCAACCACTCCGGAGGAGCAAGTAAACTTCGTGGCAAATGTTAGGGTCAACAACCCACATAGTAATACTTATAACCCCCGGATGGAGGAACCACCCCAACTTTGCTTGGGCATCACCGGATAATCCAAGGCCTCCGGGTTTCCAAGGCCCCACGGGGAACTTCCAACCTCGGCCAACCTTCATCCAACAAAGGCCCCAACTCCAAGGCTCAAACTTTCAACAACCGTACCAATCACAAGGTGCTCTAGGGTTTTAACAATAACATAAACCCGACAAATTATCCAAGCTTGAGGACCTAGTGAACACCTTTATGAGTACGAGTAGCCAAAAGTTCGAAAAGATAGAGCAATTCATGGATGTGGCGACCACCAAGTTTACCTCGGTTGAGGCGGGTCTTCGAAGCCATCAAGCGAGCCTTCAAAGCTTGGAAG